GATGGCCCAAGATGGCCTCCAAGATGCTTCCAAGACGGCCAAGATGGCCTCCAAGACGGGTAAGATGGCTCCAAGATGCACCCAAGACGGCCCAAGATGGCCTCAAGATGGTCTAAGACGGCCCAAAAGGCCCGCAAAAGGCCTCCAAGACGGCCCAAGAGCCCTCCAAGACGCCCTCCAGGAAGGCCCGAATAGGTTAAAATCATTGATTTTCCTTAGGTTTTTGAAGGATTTTGGCATGTTCTTCTTTTCAGCTCTCCGACGGCCCAAGACGGCCCAAGAGGTCCCCAACATCGCCCCAACAGCACCCAAGAGGCCTCCAAGATGGCCCCATGACGGCCCAAGAGGCCCCCAAGAAGGCCCCAAGAGGGCCTCCAGACGGCCCAAGAGGCGTCCAAGACGCCCAAGATGGCCTCCAAGACGGCCAAGATGGCCCAAGATGGCCTCCAAGATGCCTCCAAGACGGCCAAAATGGCCTCCAAGACGGGTAAGATGGCTCCAAGATGCACCCAAGACGGCCCAAGATGGCCTCAAGATGGTCTAAGACGGCCCAAAAGGCCCGCAAAAGGCCTCCAAGACGGCCCAAGAGCCCTCCAAGACGCCCTCCAGGAAGGCCCGAATAGGTTAAAATCATTGATTTTCCTTGGGTTTTTGAAGGATGTTGGCACGTTCTTCTTTTCAGCTCTCCGACGGCCCAAGACGGCCCAAGAGGTTCCCAACATCGCCCGAACAGCACCCAAGAGGCCCCAAGATGGCCCCATGACGGCCCAAGAGGCCCCCAAGAAGGCCCCAAGAGGGCCTCCAGACGGCCCGAGAGGCGTCCAAGACGCCCAAGAAGGCCTCCAAGACGGCCCTGAGGCGCCCCAAGAGGGCCCCCAGTCGGTCCAGAGAGGTCCCCAAGACGGCTTCCGACGGCGTCAGACGGGCCAGGAAAGCCCTAAGACGGCCAAAGAGGCCCTCAAGAAGCCCCCGAAGGCCTCCAGCAGGCCCAAGGAGGCCCCCAAGAGGCCTCCAAGAGGCCCCCAGGAAGCTCCCAGCAAGCCCCAAGAGTGCCCCAAGAGGCTCCCAAGAAGCCTCCTCCTCCTACTCTTCCTCTTCCTCTTCCTCTTCCTTTTCCTCTTCGTGTTGATTCGCCCCCACATGTTCCCCGAAGGCTTTCCCCCCCTTCCTATCTCTCCTCTCCTCCCCGTCCTCCCCCACGTGTTCCCCGAAGGCTGTAAAGACCGATTCGGGGAACATATGGCCCAATAACTTGGCAGACCTCTGGCCACAGCAGTCGGCCGCATCGGCGCTTCCGAAAGGGCAGGGGGCGGCGGTGATTCGCCGTAGGCGTCTTCGATAAATGCTGAGTGAGAGGAGGGAAGGGAAAAAGAGAGGAGGGACGAGGGCGAAGAAGGATCACATCAGTCGGAGCGCCCCGGATCGGCGGCACTGGCCGAAGGCCACTACAATATCTCCTTCGGTGGCGATCCAAATGGGGCCACGTACCGTGTGAGGGAGTGCGCCCATTTGGGTGGCGCGGACGCATGTGGACACCGCCACTGGGGCCTTCGTTGGAACTCCTTGCTGCGCAAAGAACCGCGTGAGGGGTGTGCCGACAGGGGTGGCGCGGACGCATGTGGACACGGGCACTGGGGCCTTCGGGCCTTCGGTGGGTGGCGCGGACGCATGTGGACGCCACCGCTGGGGCCTTCGGTGGAGCCCCCTACGGGGCCACGAAACTTGTGAAAGGTGTGCCGACATGGGTGGAGCGCACGCATGTGGGCACCGCCACTGTGGCTTTCGGTGGGTGGCGTGGACGCATGTGGAAACGGCCACTGGGGCTTTCGGTGGAACTCCCTATCTATGGCGCCACGGAACGTGTGGGGTGTGCGCCGAAATTGGTGGCGCGGACGCATGTGGACACCGCCGCTGTGGCCTTCGGTGGAGCTCCGCATGGGGCCGGGGAACTTGTGAACGGTGTGCCGAAATGGGTGGCGCGGGCGCATGTGGACACTGCCACTGAGGCCTTCGATGGGTGGCGTGGACGCATGCGGAAATCGCCGATGGGGCTTCGGTGGAGCTCCATGTGGGGCCACGAAACGTGTAAGGGGAGTGCCGAAACGGGTGGCGCGGACGAATGTGGACACCGCCAAAGAAACCTTCGGTGGAACTCCTCCTAGGGACACGAAAAACGGGAGATGTGTGCCGTCAGGAATGACACGGGCGCTGGGGCTTTCGAGCCTCCAGTGGGTGGCACGGACGCATGTGGACGCCGCCGCTCGGGCCTTCGGTGGAGCCCTTCTTGGGCCACAAAACGTGTGAGGGGTGAGCCGACATGGGTGGCGCGGGCGCATGTGGACACCTCCATCGGGCCGTCCTGTGGAGCTCCGTATGAGACCACGAAGCGTGTGTCGGATGCACCCAAATGGGTGGCGCGGGCGTATGTGGACACACCCATTGCGGTTTTCGGTGGAACGCCTTATCGGGCCACGGAACGTGTGCAGGGTTTGCCAAATGGGCGGCGCGGACGCATGTGGACACGTCCACTGGGGCCTTCGGTGGGACTCCTTCTGTGGCCACAGAAAGGGCGAGGGGTGTGCCGACATGGGTGTCGCGGACGCGCGTGAGCACCGCTACTGGGGCCGTCGGTGGAGCTCCTTCTGGGTCCACGAAACGTGCCAGGACTGTGCCGAAGCTGATGGCAATGATGGTGATGATGACGGCGACGATGACGACGATGACGGTGGTGTTGACGATGACGATGACGACAGCAGCGCCGACAACGACAACGACGATAATGACGATGATTTTCATCGGCAAATTGGGCTAGTACAGCTGAAGACCAGCAGCTGCGTGCTATACGCGAGTCGGGGCCATTCGTAGTGCACAACACGATGCACTTAGAACCCGCCGCCAGGGCGTTACCCTTAATGCTTCAATGTGTGCTAGCACGGTGCTCACCCTAGCCATGCAGAGCGCGATGCGTGCGAGCGACGGCGCACGAATGCTAAAGACGTGTGAATGCTCTACCTCGGGCGGTGCAGGGAAGTCAGGTGTGGAGTTGGCTGGCGTCCAAAGCATCTAAAGCTGCGCGCATCTGGTCGGACTGACAAGGACTACCTACTTGGGTGAAGGCCTCCATCAAATGTTGGACATCCAAGACGTGGTCGGGGTCGTCCCAGTAGGAGCCATACGTGTGATCCATGGTGTACAAAAAAACGAATTCCATATAGTCGGGATGTGTGAGTGCGGGGACGCGCCGACTCGCAGTGACGCGCTTCCACATAACCCTGGCGATGTTGAGAGGTACGTCGAACTCGCGGGCGGCATTGGCGAACGGGTAGTCCTCCAGCGCATACTGTTTCCCGTCCTGGGGCAAGGCCTTTGCCAAGAGGTCCAGATCGGCGCGAAAATCAATCGGCGGCATGCGTACGTAGCCAGCATGTGGTGCACATGAAAACTTGAGGCTGAATGTTGTGTCCACTGTAGCAGCGCGGTCGCATAGCATCGGTGTGCAGGTCAGTGAGGGCGGGGCTACGGCGGAAAACACGACAAGCTTCGCCTCTATGACGTCAATGAATGAGTACTCTGTGCTGCGGTGCGGCACGCGGGTGGGGATGATGACCCAGGGCTCGAGCGTCAGCACCTCGGAGTCGCTGTGCGAGTACAGCTGGGCGTACCCGTAATCCTGCTCATAGCCCGGTGGACCGCCACAAGCAGCTTCTTGGCGAAAAACTCGTGCCCGAGCCCGCCGACGGTGTGCCTGCGCTCGCGAGCGCCGCACCATATTGGGGGCGCCACATTCGTGCGGATCGGCGGCAGGAGCGGCAGCGCGGCCGTGAGCACGGCGAGAAGCACCCGATGCAGCACCACACTGCGTCGGCGTTCAATCGCGCGGGCCCTGGGCCATATTGCTGGAACGGGGGGGCAAGGATGGTGCGTAGGCCACTGCTTATGAAATGGTCTGAGCAGTCCGTGGCCTTTGATGACGATGATGACGATGATGACGATGACGACAGCGACGACGATGGCGATGGTGGTGATGATGATGATGCTGATGCTGATGATGAAGATGATGGTGATGGTGATGGTGATGATGATGATGATGATGATGATGATGATGATGATGACGATGATGACGATGATGACGACGACGATAGTAATGGTGATGGTGATGATGATGATGAAGTTGCTAATGCTGATGATGATGACGAGGATGATGGTGGGAGGAGGGAGGAGGGGGATGAGGAAGGAGTGGGCGCGGGGCGTTGTCTCTTCACAACGAAGACCCAGCGCCATAGGATGCTCGGAGAAAAAAATCGCACTGACCCAACGAATGCACGGGGGGACGGACGTCCGAGCGATGGCAAGGCTGGACACCAGAGGGCAGGGCAGAGGATCGGCTCATGAGCTTTGGGCGCCCGAATTATCCGGGGTAACTCGGGTCCGGGGTAACTCGGGTTCGGATTCCCGAAAAACGAACCCGAGTTATCCCTGACCCGAGTTACCCCTGATGATTCGGGGCTCTGAGAGCTGGTTCTCCTGGCGCCTCCCGGCGCCGGGAGGCGCGCCCTGGGCATCGAGGAGCGGGCCCGGCCGCGGGGCCGAAGCCAGCTGCATGCAGCAGATTTCTTAACGCCCCCTTCTCCCCATCTCCCCCGCCCTTCTTGCCATCGCTCTGACGTCCATTTCCCCGTGCCGTTGTCCGTTTCGTGCGTGTCGGGGATGGACCGAGCCCCCTTCAGTAAAACGTGGTTTGGTGAAAACGACCTCGGGCCCAAACCTGGCGGGCGCAAGCCTGGAAAATGACGGCCGCGGCGCCCTCTCGAGAACCGAAAACGGCGATTCACTAATCGACGTGTCAGGATGGGGGTCCTGTCCACCCCCGAGCGTGCTTCTTGTTGCTGAATCATGCGGAATACGGTCCTCGCCGAGAGAAAGTGCACAACGTCCGAGCGATGCCCAGCCTTTCGGCCCGGTCGACGCGTGGCGCGCTCGCGGGGCGCGCCGCCGCCGGCCTACGTAGGAGCGGCCGGCTGGTCGGGGAGACCTCGGCGGGGAGGGGCTGGTCGGCCCGGCGCGAGAGCGGCGCACGCCAGGAGGGGAGGCCCCGAGGGTCGACGACTCGAGGGTCGAGGGATCAGCGGAGGCGCCGAGGATCCAGAGGCCCCAGTCTGCGATGAGGCGATTTTGGGGGCAGGTGCTTTCGCCCCCATGGGCCAGCCTCCCCCCCCATCGCTGCCCGTGGCTTCCCTCCGCTCGGCGGCGCGCCCAAAAAAGGGGTGGCGGAGGGGCCGGGCCCTCTCGCGGGAGCTTCTCGGAAGGCCGGAGGCCTTCTGAGGAGCTTCCTATACACCCTGCGAAATGCTTAAGAAACCATGGGTTAAGAAATTCAGAGTCTCAGAACTGGAATAAAAACCCAGAACTTCTATCAACATCTTGGGATTTACATTGAAAAGTTAAGAATAATCAAGACTCTGGCCGAAAACTGAGGTTTTCTTACGCATCGCCTAAGGTGTAAGCCGTCCCCACAACCACAGGAGCCCTACCAGCAGGCCGGAGGGCTTCTGAGAAGCCCCGCCGCCTTCTGGGGAGGCCTGCCCCCTCTCGCTTCCCCCCCTCGGCGCGCCGCCGATGCACACATCTCGATGCCACGTTCCTCCCCCAACTTCTCCCATGGTGGGTTCTGACCAGAACTGCGAGGTGGATCAAACAGTGGCGACGAGGGCTATCCAGGACAAGCAGCGGCATCGGCATCTTGTCCTCCACCACGGACAAACAACCGCATAAACATAAACTTCCAGAGGTCCCCACAGATCTTTCAAAATCTATGTTTACGCAGTTCTTCCTGCCTCCTCGGCCCATTTTTGGGCTGAAAGCATATCTGAATCCGCGGCCTCGCGGGCCGGGCCCCTGGGCCGCGACCCCGCGAATACGGGGCAATTCTTCGTCGCTGCCCCGAGCGTAACAAGTCCGTGCGACCGCGCATCCGCGGGATCGCGCCCCGGAACTCAGACAGCGCAGACGCGGATCCGGATATGTTGGCCGCTCGTGTCCCATGGCGGAGACCGCCCGCGCCGAGCACGTAGCTCAGGGTCGGGGAGGCTGGAAGCGTGGCGGCCGCGACGGCGACCGCCCGCGCGGCCGCCACCGCCGCGGCGCCGCCCCGCTCCAGCGCCCCGGGCGCCCGCGGCCCGTGCACGGGGCCCTCGGGCGCCCCGCGCAGGCGCGCATACCTCGCGGACGCGGGCCTGCCAAGCCTACCGCCGGTTCGTGTCGTGCCGACTTCGGCGTCGGCTTCTGACACCGCGAGGACCTCTCCGGCCTGGAACGATCGGCCGTTTCCGAAACGTCGGATCGTTCAGCTTCGACCGATTCTGGGTCGCCGGCGGCGTTCAACATTGAACGCATGAAGGTGTCGCGGCTGGTCGACACGACGCGTACACGCGTCCTGCGCCGAACGAACAACATACAATCCCATACCCATAGCAGGGTCGGAGGGAGGAGAACCCACAGAACGATTCTGGGTCGCCGGCAGCGTGCAACGTTGAACGCTGGCGGCGGGGTCGCCGCGGCTCGACACGACGCGAACACCCTGTAGGTAATTACCCGAAGGCCTTGCGAGCAGGCCAAGGTGAAGGGGCCCCAGGACACACAAATAAATTTACACAAATAAAAGGATTCCCCATATTTTCCTATATATATATATATATATATATATGTTGGGTTTTTGTCTTCCCCCCCACGTCCCATATTTTTGCATATTTTCCTGGGAGTCGACGATTAATTGTGTCTGTGTGTTTCTTTTCCTCCTGACAAGGTGAGGGCAGGCCCGGTGGGCCGCGCGGGCAGCTCAGGTCCCCGCCCCGCCCAAGACATCGATACTTCGGACGTTCGGGGTTGAAGAAAATCACACCGTCTTCGTCGTCGCCGTCGCCGTCGCCGTCGCCGTCGCCGTCGCCGTCGCCGTGGTCGTCGTCGTCGTCGTCGTCGTCGTCGTCGTCGTCGTCGTCGTCGTCGTCGTCGTCGTCGTCTCCCTTCAGGGTCGGCGGCCCGGCCGCACGGCCTTCGCAATCGATGCTTCGGACGCTCGGAATTGAAGAAAATCACGAACTCAAATCTGGGGCGGGTCGGAATCGCCGCCCTTCAGTCACAGAACACGCACCCCGATTCCCCCGCCCCCCCCCTGCAGGATGTAGGTGCGTGGCCCAGCAAGGGGTCCATGGACGGTGCGGCAGCAGGAGTCGCGCTGTAGGGGTGGATCGAGGCCTCACAAATGGAGCGAGAATGCCCAGACTTCTTACGGCCTAGACAAAAACCTGGCCGGCTGTTTTTCTCCGTTTCGGCATCCTGGGACCTGGGCCCCGTGGCTGTAAAAATGAGGCTATCCGTCATCATGTTACGAAGACTCACGCAGAGCGCTCTCGCGAAGCCCATGTTAACACGTGCGAGCGACCGTCCAAGCTTCGATGGCCCTCAGCGCGCGTGTTGGCGCCAACGTCTGATTGTGCGGACCGAAGCTCCCCAGTGCAACGCAGACACAATGAGGAGGCCAGGACTCGCCCCCTCCTTCGATGGGTCTCGGTGGCGGTGGTCCCTGCTTCTCCTCTGCAGCACAGGATGTGTGTAGCCGAGCGGGGGTGAGCACGGCAGGTTCGTGTCGTGCCGACTTCGGCGTCGGCTTCTGACACTGCGGGGATCGTTCAACCTGTGACAATCGGCCGTTTCCGAAACGTCAGATCACTCAGCATTGAACGATTCTGGGTCGCTGGCGGCGTTCAGCATTGAACGCATGAAGGGGTCGTCGCTGGTCGACACGACGCGAACACGCGTCCTGTGACGAACGAACAACACACATTCATACCCACATTAGAGTCGGACAGAGGAGAACTGGCTATGGGTATGGGCGCGGGCTGTCGGACCACGGGGGAAGCTCCCGTTCGAACGGGAACCCCCATCCGACAGCACTCACCCACAGCCCCCTCCGTCCCCCAATATGGGTAGGGGTGCGCGTTGTTCGTTCGTCATCCTTTGGATCATCCACTGCTTCGCTCCCGGCAGGGCACCACTCGGGGGCGTCGGTGTACCACCTGCACCAGCGCGCCGCGGCCTGGCAGTTGAACTCCGAGGCCACAGCCGCGGCGGAGTGGCATCGGTCCCGCTGGCTCGGGGCCAGCCTTCCCTCGCGAGGAGCATTTGGAACAATGGGGTAAACTACGACGAGAGTCGTACAATCACTGCTCGCAACGGCCGAGCACGGAATGGAAATCCGACGACCTCAAAGGGCCTTTCAAGACGACTGCACGCGCCGCGCGTGCCCGCCGATCAATCCACGGGGTTGAGCTGCTCGTCAACGCACGGGACGTGAGGCTGCGCAGCTAACGACACCATCGCCTTCCTCGCGATGCTCTCCTGGATAGCTGAGATGCCCAGGAGGAGGACCGCTCGCTCGGAGGAGGACGTCCGGCTCACGACGGCATCGCCATCTTCGCGACACTTTCTGGGACATCTAGCATTCGGTCGGAACTGTCCCCCCTACATGGGGATGTTGGACGAAGACTTGAAAATACCCCACACAAAAATACACCAACAATTATTAAACATTGTCAAAAAACATCGCCCCTGTTTTTTCACTAGTTTCGAATATTCCCCCTGTAGAGGGACAGGTCCGACTTAAATCTACGAATTTGGGGAGGACGAGGAGGAGGAAAGATGCAAGACCGTACGCTTCCTTTGGGGATGGAAGGTCTCCAGGCGTTTGGGCGTTGCAGGAGCAAGCACCAAACTGCGGGTGTTTGAAACACTTGCGCGCGCCGTCATGCCAAGTGGCCCCCATCTCAGGAGCGACTGCGAACCTGACGGCGCAGCTGGAAGAGGATCAAGAATAATACAAAAACAAAGAAGGAGGGAGGTGGGCCGTGTTATGCATCCGCATGCCCCCACGGATACCTGTGGACAACTCCAGGAATATCCGATCTGATCGGGGACGCCCAAACGGCTTCCTGAAGGAAGCAATAGGAACTCGTAACGATTCAGCAAGAACTCAATGTGATTCCTCAGGGAATTGTCCGAAGTCCGCGCGAGTCCGGAGGAGATCGTTCGGACGCCTCTGGGAATTCGTCAGCTATCATCACGGATCATTGGAATATCTTGGAATCCTTGAAGCAATCCGTGCGATTTCGCAAGGTAGGGTGCCTGAAGAGAGCAGTCGGGTTCTAAGGGAACCAATCGGTTTCCAGGAAATGTCGGTAGGATGCGCGATTCATTTCCCAGGTGCTTCAGGGAATGTGGGATGCCTTCAAAGAATGGTCGGGCTTATCAAGAAATTTGCGGGATGAAGGAAGAAACCAATTGACTTCTTGAAACAACGCGGGGGTCCTGAGGGAACTAAAACAATATGTAGTGCTCTTCACGGTGTTTGTAGAATACCAGCGGAGTTCTGCAAGGTTCCTAAAGACCATGTGTTGGATTGTTTGAAAGGTCTGTTAAGCATTTGCAGGCGATGCCAACCTTGTTCCAAATGAACTCTGTCGGCTTCCTGACAGAACCACTCGGGATCTTGAAGAGATCCAGAAGACGCATGAAAAAACAAAGTCTTCATGATCGCTGGGAATATGCGGGACACTAGGAGTTGCATCTGCCGACCTGTGTTTTCCAATCCGCGGCCCCCCAAAAGTCCTATTCCACGGCCCCCAAGAGTCCCGACCGCGTCTGCGTTTTTTTTTTTGTTGTTGTGTGGACCCGATTCGATTGCCCCAGGGCCCGATAGGAGCGGACCAGGCTGGCGGGATTCCTGAGCATCAGATTGTGATGAATGTCAGAGGAGATTACCAAGAAGACCGATGGGGTCCGTATTACATGGGATGTTCTCAGACACGCTGCTAATTACATTGATGTTGACATGTGATCCTGAAGTGCGGTACGAATGAATCCTCTGGTAGTGCTAGTGGTGTGCGCTATTGCCGTGTGCTGCTTGCGTTGTATCGAATAGTTCGTGTGTGGCGCTCATATGGCAGCCGCACGTGCCAGAATTACGTATTCTTGGTGTACGTTATTGAACATGCTGTTGATGTGTTGTGTTTACGTGTGCCATTGGTGCATACCATTGATGCGTGTTGCTGCTGTGCATGGATATATTGAATGGTATTGCCTGTTGTTCTTGCTGTGTGATTGCCCCCTTTGCTGTGGATGGCGTTGCATTGCGCACCAAGATGTGCGTCATTGGTGTGTTCACCGTGACTGTTGCTGATGTGTGGTAGGAGCATTATATTGGGTCGCCTTGCACTGCGCCGCAGTATGTTTAACACCATGTGTATTTCCACGTGTCACAAGCCGCAACTGTTCCCACAACGGCAACTGCACAAACGTGTTTGCCAACAACAAACAGGGCACTCATGCTAACCCCCAGAACACGTGAATGCATATGCGCACGCAATTTTGGACTTTGATTGTAAGGAATACGCATATTGGGATTGATACCATTCCGCTTTTCTGCGGGAATCCATAACATTCGGACTGGATTCGTCCAAATGGACTTGGATTCAACCCGCATGCGGACTGACCACCCCAAACCCCCCCTTTGGGGCGGGGGGAGTTTCGGAGGGACCCCCTAGTTTATAATCTCCCCCTCCACTTAATTAGGCAGGGACCGAATGTTCTGTTTCCGAGTGGGGGAACCACAAAATGCAGATAACAGTGCTCCCCGGACCCCTCCCTGGACCCCTCCCAAGGCGAATCCAGCCGTGGCGATGATAGAGGAGGACCCCTCGCCCTGGCGCGCGGAGCGCGCCAAGGGCGGCGCCAGAGGTGCCGCCGGGGGGGCGCAGTGCCGCAACTGTTGTGGTTATGCCGATGTTTCTTCTTCGAGACGAGATACGCGTACACGTCGGTCGGAAGAAGTAGGTAAAAACATGAAGCAGGAAGGCGGATCAAATAGATTGGGTTCAGGCCGTCCCGGCGAATAACGGAACACATCAAAACCAGGCCGATTATTGGAATAGGAAGGCGCTAGAAAGAGATTGGGATCCGGGATTTCAGAAATACATACTTTCAACGACCCGCGTGTAGCGCTATCGGTATCTTTTCCACCGCCGACAGACGGCCCCGCCCAGGGAGCCTCTGACCACTCGTCGTCGGGGACGACGCTGCAGCCGAGCCGGGGCTCGCTGTGCAGCGCCCATGGGCGGTAGACGCACGTCCCGTCCCAGCACAGCTCTCCCTCGGCCTCGTGGCGGGGGGCGGGAAGCCGAGGACCGATCGATCGCGCAGTCGGGTTTAGGTTCGGGGCTGTTTCGCGTCGTCCAGAGCGGCTGGGTTATTAAGGTCTCAAGTGCGGACAGGGCGAAGGTCAGGGAAGAGGAGAGTGACGGAGGGGAGGAGGAGAGTGACGGAGGGGGAAGCGGAGGAGGAGGGGGAGGAAGAGTGCAAGGAAGGGGGATGTTCAGGGAGGGGGACGGAGGAGGGCAAGGAAGGCCGATGTTCAGGGAGGAGAGTGACGGAGGGAGAGGAGAAGGAGGAGGCGGAGGAGAGTGACGGAGGGGGAGGAGAAGGGCAAGGAAGGCCGATGCTCAGGGAGGAGGAACGTGACGGAAGGGGAGAAAGAGGATGCTTCTGGAACGCCCGGCACCACGACGAAGAGAAGGCGAACAACGACGGAATTGGAGGGGAAGGAAGGGATGAGGAGGAGGGGAAGGACGAGAAGGAGGAGGAGGAGGCATGATGACAACGAGGGGAAGCACGGCAACGACAAAAAGAAGACGACGACATACGCACCCGCGCGCCGGCGGCCGACGCCGGCGCGGACGCCGCAGACACCGACGCCGACGCCGCCGAATGGGAGCCGCACAGATGTCACAACTTGGCTATTTGGGCCTTCGCCGTCGACCCCTCGATCGAACCTCGGCCCTCGGCCCTCGACCCTCGACCGATGGCACCTCGCCCCTCGACCCTCGCCCCTCGACCGCTCGACCCTCGAATCGAGGGTCGACGCCCGCGGTCCTCGATCGAGCACCCCGGTCGAGCCTGTCGAGGCCTCGATCGAGGGCCGAGGTCTCGACCGAGGGCCTCGACCGAGCCTGCCGAGGCCTCGATCGAGGGCCGAGGTCTCGACCGAGGGCCTCGACCGAGCCCTCGACCCTCCAACGGCATCGACCCTCGGCGCCTCGGCGCACGGCCGCGCGCACCCGGCGGCGCCCCGCGCCGGCCGCTCCGGCAGCCACACCGCGGGCTCCGGCCGCGGCCACGCGCCCCGCTGGCGGGGCGTCTCGGCGGGCGGCGCCTGCCGCCACCGTCGGTCGCCGTGGGCCCCTCGGCCTGCGCCGTCGGCGCCGTCGCCGCCGACCTCCGGCGTCGGCGGCGTCGTCGCCGTGGCAATTGGCAGCGGCGGCGGCGTCGTCGCCGCGGTCGTCGCGGCCGCGGTCGTGGTCGTGGGCGTCGTCTCCTCTCCTCCTCGAGATCCGGGAGGAGGACAATTTGGACGCCCTGCAGGGGTATGGAAAACACGGGTCCGATGCGCGAAACCAAAAGCTGTTCAGAACCGACAGCGGCCGCTGTTGGGCATGGCCTTCTGGCTCAAATGGACCACGTCCACGGCGACACCGACAGCGAGTCCTGCTCAAAACGCTCAGGAAATGCTGCCGGTCTCCGCACCCCTGCTTCCCGCAACCCTGTCGGCCGTCCCGAGACGAGGAGGAGGAGGGCGAGGCGGCAAGCGCCAGGCGCGGGCGAGGGAGGAGGACGCGGAGGGCGAGGGAGACGAGGAGGACGAGGAGGACGAGGGCGAAGGACGAGGAGGACGACCAGGAGGACGAGGAGGGCCTGCTCCTGGGCCGCCCAGCTCGGGTCCGCCGAGAGGTAGTCCAGGAAGGGCCCGACCTGCTCCCCCACGCAGCGGGAGGCCGCGAGGGCCCCCGCGGCGGCCCAGAGGCCGCGGGGCTTCATTCACGGGGGCGCGGCCCGGGGGGGGGGGGGTTGGGTGGAGGGGGGGTTGGCGGGGAGATGGGGGGGGCGGAGGAGGGCCCAAGAGGCGGAGAAGGAGAGGAGGAAGAGGAGGACGAGGGCGGCTTCCGCCTCAAGTTCGCACAGCGTCTTAACAGACGAGGGGGCAGAGGAAGAAAATAAGCAGTCCTTCTCCTCCCCCTCCTCCTTTTCACTTTCCTCATGCTACTTGCCCCCCCTCCTGCCACCTTATCCCCCTTCGCCTGCCCTTCCTCCTCCTCCTCCTTCTCCTCCTCCTCCTCCTCCTCGCCGTAAGCCCCTCGTTTTCTCCGTCATCCCTGCTAGTATAAACATATTCCTCCGCGTCGCACCATTGGACGGGCCGTCAGGACGGATCAGGCGTGTCGCCTGACGCATCCCCACCGCTGAAGCCTTACATGGGTGGGAGGCGAACGGTGCTCAAACTGGTTTTCGTTCCGCCTTGCCGCCGCGAGGCGCTTGTCTTGCACGTGTCCAGCAACTGCGCGGATGGAATGCGACACGTGCCCGGATTGGACTGCCGCTTCGGACAGTTTTGTCAGCATTGCACGAATGTGAAAAGGCCCTGGGACACACAAATAAATGTACACAAGTTACGCTACCGGGGAAACCCACTTACTAATTTTATGGCTGGAGTGATGATAGCTGTTGTGAGGCATGTGAGAATGATGTTGGTGGCCGTGGCCCCGCCGATACCGTTGTGCCCTGGACGACCGTCACGGATAGCGGCCGCGGTGAGACCCCCTGCGCACCCCCTTATGGTGTCGAGAATCTGCCATGCCTGCTGTGCCCTGGACGACCGTCACGGATAGCGGCCGCGGTGAGAGACCACGCCTTGCGCACCCCCTTTTGGCGTGGAGAATCTGCCATGCCTGCTGTGCTATGGACGACCGTCACGGATAGCGGCACTGCTGAAAGACCACCCCCTGCGCACCCCCTTATGGTGTCGAGAATCTGCAATGTCTGCTGTGCCATGGGCGACCGTCACGGATAGCGGCCGCAGTGAGAGACCACTCCCTGCGCACCCCCCCTGGTGCCGAGAATCTGCCATGCCTGCTGTGCCATGGACGACCGTAACGGATGGCGGCCGCGATGAGAGACCACCCCCTCCGCACCCCCTATGGTGTCGAGAATCTGCCATGCCTGCTGTGCCCTAGACGACCGTCACGGATAGCGGCCGCGGTGAATGACCACCTGCCCATGCGCAGCCCCTATGGTGTCGAGAATCTGCCATGCCTGCTGTGCCATGGACGACCGTCACGGATAGCGGCCGCGGTGAGAGACAACCCCCTGCGCAGCCCCCTTCTGGTGTCGAAGGTATGCCCTGCTTGTTGTGCCATGGGCGACCGTCACGGATAGCGGCCGCAGTGAGAGACCACTCCCTGCGCACCCCCCCTGGTGCCGAGAATCTGCCATGCCTGCTGTGCCATGGACGACCGTCACGGATAGCGGCCGCGGGGAGAGACCACCCCCGGCGCATCCCCTATGGTGCCGAGAATCTGCCATGCCTGCTGTGCCATGGACGACCGTCACGGATAGCGGCCGCGGGGAGAGACCACCACCCCCGTGCGCAGTCCCTATAGTGTCGAGAATATGTCATGCCTGCTGTGCCATGGACGACCGTCACGGATGGCGGCCACGATGAGACCCCCCTTGCGCACCCCCTATGGTGTCGAGAATATGTCATGCCTGCTGTGCCATGGACGACCGTCACGGATGGCGGCCGCGATGAGGAACCACCCCCTGCGCACCCCCTCTGGTGTCGAGAATCTGAAATGCCTGCTGTGCCCTGGACGACCGTCACGGATAGCGGCCGCGGTGAAAGACCACCCCGTGCGCACCCCCTATGGTGTCGAGAGTGCACCACGCCTGCCACGCTTTGCGAACCCGAAAGGGAGGTGAGTGAGCTTCACGGGTGAGCTGTGCTGTGCTGAAATGAGCTGTGCTGCGCTGTGCTGTGCTGTGCAATGCACGTTCTGTGTGTCAATGTGCTGTGTGCTGTGCTGTGCTGTGCTGAGCTGTACTGTGCTGTGTTGCGCTGTGCTGTGCTGTGTGTGAAGGAGAAGGAGGAGGAGGGGTGAGGGGTGAGGAGACGCGGGTGCGACGCGGGAAGGAAGAAAACCAGAACCCCACGAAGCATGTGGGGAGTAACGGAGTTCCCCTATGTGTTCCCAAGTTTCCTGGGTTGTTGTTTCCCCCCCCACTTCCCATATGTTCCTATATTGTCTGGGGAATCGACGATTCATTGTGTCTGTGTGTTTTTCCCCTCCTGAGAATGGGGGGGGCGGGTGGCTTTGAGGCGTTCAAGTTGGAGCTCTCGCCTTGGCGCCGCGCGAATGCGCCTCAAACAGTGTCTGTATACCGATGGGGCGGCACGCTGTCGAAATGGAGATCTCGCCGCGGTGCTGCGCACACTCGTCTGCAACAAATAGAATGATGGGTGGCGGCTCCATGTTGAAACATGGGGTCCCCGCTGGGGATTTCCGTATACTTGCCTGTCAAGCAAGCAAGAAGTCAGGCTGCGCAGCATTACTGGTTCAGACGGAAAGGGGCGGACACTTGTCAGAAAGGGGCGTCCGCCAGACACCCCTCGAATCTGGAGGCCTCGCCTTCAGGTGGCCACATGTGACCACTTCCCCCCTGCCCCCAACGATTTCTAAGGGGAGGTGGGGGTTCACTCCGCTCGGGAGCTCCCGAACGAAGTGACCGCCCCCCAAAAATCTTAGAGATCGCGGGGGGCGGCAGGGAGGGTTCACATGTGGCCACTGAGCCCCGTCGCATGCCTCAGAGCTCGATCAAGGCAGAGGCCAAGATCCTTTACGAAACGGAGCTCTCGCATGACTTTCGCGGGCGCAAGGGGGGGCGCTTGCCTTCCGAGGGGGCGCCTCGCACGGTGAGCGCGGTGCTCGCAATGACCTGCGAGGAGGGCACCTGTGAAGCGACGATCAAACACGGGTCTGACGCGAGACGACACAGCGACCTTACGCGGCGGCTTACGCGGGCCGCCAACCCGACACGCTACAGTGGGGACGAAGGCGCTCACGCGTGACCTTACGCGGGCAGCTTACGCACCAATGTCGGCGCAGACGACCCCGTATTTTCCGGCGCTCACTTGGGTCGGGAAGATGCGCTGCAACATCGTTGATACACGCTTGGCTTACTCTGATATCCCCTCCCCCTCCCTCTCCCCACCTCCTCCTGGCGAAGGGGTGGCCAACCCCGTAGAGTAAGTAGTCCAGCATGGTTGGTCTCAACAGTCTCCCGAAAGTGACCAGGACGCTTTCAACACGCCAGCCCTGGGCACCTCAAGGACCGCCTCCTGAGGGGGCGCTGGAGTGTCCAGAGAACCCAGGGTTAGCTGAGAGGCCGAATGAGACCAGCCAAGAGAATATACCTCTGGGGACTGTGTGAGCTTTCGAGTAGGGGATCGACCACAGAATGGATACACCCCAGAACTGATGTTCACGTCGAATCTACAAAGCAACGTAGAAAGTTCGTAGATCTACGAATGTTCCACGCCCTTCCCATAGGTTCGACGAGAAGCACCAAGTCTTGGGTACAGTCAATCCGTATAAGAAAGACGCGCGGCAAAGGTGCAAGGGCCTTGGAAGGCCACGTCGACACTTTGCAAGCGGGGCGCGGCCAGCGAACGCGGCCAGGGATGGGCCGAAGGGAAGGATGCAAGGACAACCTTGGAAGTTTCACATCCTTCCTGTGCGGGCGCGCGCAAGAGGGTGGAGGAGGGAGGGGGGAGAGCATCTGAGGAGGCTGCTTCTTAGAAGGCGCCAGCCTTACACCTATAGATAAGGCCCGCGCCTTCTAAGAAGCAGGGGTGCTTCAAAGATACCCTGCCCCCTCCCCCCTCCCCCCTCTGCGCGTGGCTGATGTTGCTCAAGTGTGTGGTCGACCCCCTGCTCGAAGCCGTGGGTCTTCCCCTCTGCTCCCGTCCCCTCGCGGCCACCCCTCCCCTCGCGCCTCCCTCCCCCCGCACACTCGCGCAGCTCGCGCCACGCTGCGCTCCCGACGGGCTTTCGGCAGCGGGAGCCTCCACGGCACGCCCGCCGACACAGACCTGACTGCCTACCAGACCACCCCAACCCAACCCGAAGACCCGAGCTTCGGGTTGGGGGGGGGTACGGGTTCCATATGTGTTTTGTGAATGTTCCCCGGCCCCCGCCCCACTGGAATGGAGGACAGATCGGGGCTTTCGGGTTGGGTTGGGTTCGTTTGGTGGGCGGTGAAGACAACAGTGCGCAGCCCTTGTCACTGCCATGCCATGCCGCCTGCTGGGCGGTGTTTGGCGGGAGGGCGATACGTGCAACCCGGGGGAGGGGGAACGGTGCACCTCTCGGGCTCTCGAGGCCCCCTTGTGGGGCCCTCAAGGGCCCCTTCTACCGGGTGCTGCTGGGAGTGCCCCTGGCCCAAGGTGCCCCCAGCTTTTCGCTTCATTTTGGAGCCCCTGGGGCCCTCTGGGCCTCGTGAAAGGGTGCTTTGGAGGCCGTGTGGGCGACCCCGAGAATCCTGGGGGCACCTTGGCCCAGGGGCACTTCTAGCAACACCCGACTCTAGGGGCCCTGCGGGTCCCTGTTCTGCAGCCCTCACAAGCACCCCTATGCGTCGCCCTCCCACGACGCGACGCCCAACACCTGGAGGAGGAAGAGGCCGCCGCTTCCAGGGTCGAATCTCCCCCCCTTGCGTGATTGATGACTTCGTTCGCCCTCCTTTCTCTCCGCTTCGCGCTCTCTCCCGCTGAAGGGATGCTCGCTAAGGGTCCATACGAGTTTCGCAAGGTGGGGGGGCCATCGACCCGTGAACAGGGAGGGGAAGTGCGGAGAACGAGGGGGGACGAGGAGGAGGAGGAGGAGGAGGTCCCGTGGGGAAGCCCACCCTCGAGCAGCAATGGCCGCGGACAAAACTGAGGAGGAGCCGGGCCAAGCGGGAGACCTGCGCGCAGCCCTGCGCCC